AACGGTGAAACATTCAAGATGGATATCTATCCTTACTTCTTCTTTTTATATAAATGGAACATTGTTGACACCTATTCCTCACACACCGGACACAGGTCTTTCAATAATCAACCTTCAGTGCCGGTAGAAAAAAGTGACAATAGAGAAGTGACAACAGTGAAAGGTAAGAGAGAATGATTTTTTGTCATAGAGAGAGGCGCAATATCACGCCATAATGAAAATATTGTGCTATATGTATCTTGATTTATTACGTAGGTCTAAAGATAACCGTCGACGAATTCATAAATCGCACTAAGTTGATCGTAGCGCACATAAAGAAATTTCAAAAAGATGCACAGGATGCTGTTCCTAATTTCCCTCAAAATGTTGAAAAAGCCAACTTCGACACATACCTTTTGTTTAAATTCGTAATGATGATACATCAATGGACCTCCGATGTAATAGTCCTAAATACTGTCGGCAAATCATATTACGAGGAGATCTTAAAGCTTCCAAAAAGATGTGTACCCCATCAGGTACAGACTAACTACACACTGCAAGGTGAGAGAGATTTTTTATTGTAGAGAAGCGCAATATTGCGTCAAAGTAGAATTGTTTTATAAGAATCTCAATCTTTTATGCAGATCGTATAGTAATGTCCTCTGATATCATAAGCACCATTGAAGCGATCCAAAATCGATCTCATACGAAATCAAAGGAATTATCGGAGAAAAAGGGCTACGACACAATGAAACGTAAGAGAAAGATTTTTCGCGCGATATCGTTACAAAGTAAAAATATTACTTCACCAGAATGTTGATTTTTCATGCAGGTAATTCGAGAAAGGCCGAACTGCTTATAAAACTTATTAAATCAATCGTATTTGAATTAAACGAGAATCTAAAATCTAAGGAAACTATAATATCGTCACGTCTCAATAAGGACATATTGATGCTTCAATTGTTCGCATATAAATGGGTCCTTAATATACGTTATCCGAATATCCGCAAAAAATCTGTCAATAAGAAATCCCAGCCTCCACTGAAAGATGAGTCTTCATTGCCCATGGATAAAAATGATAACGGACCGACAGGTAAGAGAAAGATTTTTTGCAGTAGAAAAGTGTCATATCGCACCAAAATAAATATATTCTTATACAAAAATCTTGATCTCTTATATAGATCAGGAGAAAAACGCCGCAGATATCTTGAAGCGCGAGAGTAGATCGTCGACGACCGAGGGCATCGATGCTTCTACTAAAACGGAGTGCGAATTCAAACAAATCATACATCACACATTAGAAATGAAGCTATTCACTTTCGCAATGATATCACATGAGTGGTTTACTTATGAGGACAGTT